AGCTCCAGGGAGGAGGCTCCGGACACTTGGCCAACTTGGGTTGGCTGGGCAGTACCATCCTAGACCCCGGCTGAACACCGGCGACTTGGTGCGTGGGCCCCAACGCCTGGTTTCCACGTGGAACCTCTGTTGCTTACTACCCCCGCCTTTAATGACATCTTTCAGGTGAAAGGCGAGGTGGTCTTCCACGTTGGGGGTTGCTTTTGCACCGCCTGAGCTCCCAGTTTCGCTAATCGGCTCCAAGGCCACGTTCTCAAGGAGCTAGCATGGGTCCCCTTTCTGCCTGCGTGAAGACCCGTGGTTTACACCTGGACTTTTTTTTTTTTTAGATTAGAAAATATAGTTTATTTAGAAAGTAAATTAGAGAGAGACAGAGGAGATTCGCCTCCTCAAGGGAGGGGAGGGGGACAAAGCCAGGAAGCATGACAGCAGCCATAGCTCAAGGAGCCCATGGCCACATGGAGTCTAGCAAGGCAATGGCGGTGATGATCTGGCAATGGCCTCTACCTGGATTTTTTTTTGAGTTGGAGTCTCACTTCATCGCTCAGGCTGGAGGGCAGTGGCACGCTCCCGGCCACCCCAGCCTCGACCTGCTGGGCTTTGGCGGTCCTTCCGCCTCAGCCTTCCAAGGAGCCGGAATTACAGCACGCGCTACCACATCCTGCTAATTTTTGATTTATTCTAGAGACGAGGGCTTGCCAAGATGCCCAGGCTGTTTTAGGATCCGTGGGCTCAGGCAATCCCCTCACCTCGGCCTCCCAAAGTGCTGTAATTACAGGCGTAAGCCACTGCGCCTGGCTGGAAAAAGAAGTTTTAAGATATGCTCTCTGGGCCGGGCTTGGTGGCTCAGCCTGTAATTCCTCGGGAGGCCAAGTCGAGAGAATTGTCTGAGCCCGTGGGTTCGAGACCAGTCCGGGCAACTTGGTGAGACCTTGTCTCTACAATAAATCGAAAACTAGCGGCGGGGGCGGGGGGGGGTGTGTGGTAGCCCGCGCCTGTAGTTCTGGCTCCTTGGAAGGCTGAGGCGGAAGGATCGCCTGAGCCCAGCAGGTGGACCCAGGGGTGGCCGAGAGCATGCCACTGCATTCCAGCCTGGGTGACTGAGACTCCAACTCAAAAACAAAAGTAAAACCCTTTTTTCCATCCAGGAACTGTTTAATTCTTACTGCAGCAGCTGGCATAATTGTAGATGTTCAGTAAGCACTGAAAAAACATCATTTATGATTAAATGAGGGAATATGTTTTCTAGCTAAGACACAGATTTTGAAAGTCAGATCCCACAACAAGAATTTGCCTTCTATAGTAAATAATAGTTTGTGCCAGGCTCGGTGGCTCAGCCTGTAAACCCGTGCTTTGAGAGGCTGAGGTGAGTGGATTGCCTGAGCCCGCGGGTTCGAGACCCGCCTGGGCAGCGAGACCTCATCTC